AAAAAAAAAAAAAAAAAAAAAAAAAAAAAAAAGAAAGTTTGTAAGTTTCACTGAAATACAATTTATATAATGAAATGTGCCCTTTTTAGGCGCAGGTGGACAGTTTTACGTTGTGACAAACTATACAGTTTTGTAACCACCGCAATCAGAGCAAGAGTGTTTCTGTTACCTCAGATAATTCCCTTGTGTTTGTCTGAAGGCAATCCTTTTTTCCACCTCCAATCTGTATGTTATATATTACTCTAATTCTGCCTTTTGCAGAGCGCAGAAACTTTTACGTTTATAGTATGTTACCTTTTGCATCTAGCTTTTCCCTTAAGGCTTCTGACAATCCCTCATGTTGTTACATTTATCAGTACTTCAATCCTTGTTACTGCCTTGAATTCCATGTACGGATATACTGACCCAGCTGGTGGCTACTTGGGTTGTTTGCAGTTTTTAGCGAATTAGCACGTGCACATGCATCTGTGTGGTCATATGCCAAACTGCTTTCAAAACTGGCTGTACTTTTTTGCATTTCATCAGCAACGCATCAGATTCCCTTTTGCTTTTTAAGTGCCCGTTTTATTTTACACGGCCACTTCCCAACATGTGGCCACAGTCCATTTGTATTTTAAGACTGCAAAAATAAAACAATGACGCAGTCAACTCCAGCACAGGGAATAATGCCGAATAACCATCGATCAGGTACTGCGTCCCAGGTGCTGTGTTTTCAACTGCTATCACACAAACGGTGAGGCAACCACGAGAAAGATACGTGGGGATACCACTCTGCAGAGAAACACTAAACACTCAGGAGAAGGAGGACGGGTGTGGCAATCACATCGGTGCTGTGAGCCCGGCTCTGGTTCCTCAGCAAGAAAACGAGGTGGCAGCGGGATTAGTATCTGTCCACAGAACAGTTATCGCTAGGCTCCGGCACTGACCACACACAACACGTGGCGAAGCGGGGAACTTAAGAGACTGAAACCAGTCTTGCTCCAAAGCTTGTGCTTTGGCAAATACCCTACTGTGTGTCCCCCAAACTTTTTTTTTTTCTTCACTCAACCGAGGCCACCCTTCCCTTCAGCACTACTTCCCTTCCGCCTACCACCCCTCACCTCCCGCCCCAGGGCCCCAGCCCTCCATCAATTCTGAAGCCCTACGATCCGAGCGCCCCAAACTACCTCCTCACCATGGTGACGGCCGCAGGGCAGCCGGGTGCAGCTGCCGGGGCGCGAAGAAGCTCTCAATTTTCGGGTCTCACAGACCCGCGAGCTCACTCCACGCAACCCGCGACGGGAAAGAGACAGTTGCAAAACGACCGACTCCGGAGAAAGCGCGACACATCAGTTCCGAACCGCGGTGTTTGACGCGTAGCTAGAAGGGCGGAAGTTGCCGGCAGGCGGCATTTGGGCGGTGCACCGCCGGAAGTGGTGAAGTGCGGCGGCCCGAGGAGGTTGGGAGAAAGCTCTGAGTGCCTTTCTGCAGGTATCGGCGCTCTTGCCGAAGTGGTGTGTTGTGACGCGAGGCCTTTGCGGACTTTGGCGCAGCCTGCACCTGCGGCTCTCAGCAGCCAGCGAGAAGAAGCCGGCCTCCGGTGTGCGCCCCACTGCCAGGTGGGTCACGGACCGCGCCGTGCGACTCCCGCGTCCCAATGACCCTGCCCCACGCTGGGCACCGTGCCCCCTTGTGGCATACAACAGCCAGCCACAGAGGAGGACGAAAGGGCCCCCCGAAGGCCTTCGTCCTCCCCTGAAGTCTCCGTGCTTGGATTTGAGGCAGTTTTCATGGCGGCATCTTCTAATGTCATTTATTTTCTTTAAAACCCTAATTCTAATTGACATTTGTGTGTTTTCAGGTGCAATACATTACGTAATCTCTTTTTCTAGAATACCCTTCCCCCAGGTATTGCTTCGCATACCTACTTGAGTTCTTTGCTTAAATGTCGTTTAAAAATCACTTGCTTAAGTGACTTTGCTTACGGTTCCTGCCCAATTTCTCTGTCTTGCTTAATTCTCTATAGCACGTGTTACCATAGGAGATGCTGTGTGTTTTACTTACTCCTTTTATGGTCTGTATCCATTGAATAAGATAGAGACAGTATGGCCCAAGGATGTCTTTTGTTAACTAATTTTAATCCCTTTACTTAGAAGGCAGTGGTAGACACAACAACAGTAAATTCTTGTTGAATAAATGAAACTTAATCCTCATACTGATCCCCTAGTGTTATAGATGGAAAGACAGGCTCAGAGATTTTAAGTGAAATATCAAAGATCACAGAAGACTTGGGACTCCGGCAAGTCCTCTAAACCAATAGGATCACCACAAGGGAAGGAAGGGTCCACTTGAAGTTTCTATTATAATTAGAAGTTTATGAAAAGTTTTTAAAGTACTTTTATTGGAGTGTAACATAGAAAAATGCATGCGGTAGATATATGCTTTGGTGAGTTTTCACTCTGAACACACCTTCTAATTCACACCTGAATCAAGAAATTATATTAACCTGCCCTCCTCATCCCTCTTTCCAGTCACTGCCACTCCCAAGTAGAAGAACTATCCTGACTTGTAGCAGAATGAATTAGTTTTGCCCATTTTATACTTTACATAATTGGAATCATATAGTATGAACTCTTCAGTGTTGGTTTCTTTTGCTTAACATTGTGAAATTTATCCTTATTGTTTCCTGTTGTAGTTCTTTCAGCTTCTGGAAACTTGTAGTAGGTTTAACTTGTGAGATCATCAGTGTTTTTTCTTTTTTTTTTTTTTTTTTTTAAAATGTTTTTTATTTATTTCTAGGAGAGAGAGAGGGACAGCGTGAGCAGGGGAGGGTCAGAGAGAGAGGGAGTGACAGACTCTGAAACAGGCTCCAGGCTCTGAGCTGGCAGTCAGCACAGAGCCCGACGCGGGGCTCGAACCCACGAACCGCGAGATCATGACCTAAGCGAAAGTCGGACGCTTAACCGACTAAGCCACCCAGGCGCCCCGAGATCATCAGTGTTTTTTCATTTATGATTCCCAGAGCCTCTCAAACACTCTTTGCCTTCTGAATCAGGAACAGAAAATAAATGAAGTTTTAAAGGTTCAGTACTTGTCACATTTTGATTTGTGTAAAATAGAGGAGGCAGAGTGGTTGGCTGTGTTGTTTATCATTTGTTCTTCCTGTTAGCTGTGATTGCAGGCAAAAAATGGTTGCTTAAGCAGATTAATGTTAGCAAAACTCTTCAGGAAAATTTATTTCCTTTATACCTGGTAGTAGCCAAAATGGATATCATCACTTCTTTTTAACTACCCAAAGTGTATAGTAGAGATATATTCTTTGCATGTTGTCAGTTAGTAGCGTAAAAATGTATTCATCTGGTCTGGATGAAACTTTAGGTAGAATCTCTTCATACAGATGAGATTATAAGTGAGACGTCAGGAGGTTGTGACAACTGCTTTATAAGTTGAATGTGTATGGTTAAAAAGTCAAGCTTATTTATGTTAAAGAAGAACAGGTGGAGTCAGACCTTTGTAAAAAGTCTCATAAATGAAATATTTACTATTGTGATATGCCGGAGACGGACTAGAATTTTTACAGCTAACATTTTTCTTGAGGTTGGGAATCATGTGTTACTTATTTTCTATATTTCTAATAACCAACTCCTTGTGTTGCTCCAATAAATGTAGACGAACAGGGGAATTGGGAAGTGCTTTCTCAGTCCGGCTGACATAAATTTAAGAGTATCTTTACCTGAGCCTTTTTTTTTTTCCTTCAGCAAGTAAAAGTTAATTTGGTAAACTTTTTTCTTGAATGGAGTTAAAGGCTAGAGCAGATTTTAAAATTTAGGTAAATTTTACATCACTCTAATTCTGTTTTAGAACTTGTGCCAGAAATAAATTTTGTAGTAAAAACGAGTGTTTAGATTGATAGCATGAGATGATCTAGTCAACGTAAAGAGAAAAAGCAAAGATGGTAGTAGGGCTTGACATTAATCAATAATAAACATATTGGCCTAATTCATACTTGATATTTTTCTTAAAAAAGACTGGATATGACACAAATCTGAAATGAAGCTTCTAATTTAGGAGAAATTACTAAGTACAGTAACAAATATCATCTGCAAACACAGACCGTTTTAACTTGATACTATAGGATCCCCTTTCATACTTGCTTCTCGGCAACATCATCTCCAATTTCCTTGCATACTGCTGTGTTTTGTGATTGTTCTTTAGTGGTCCATGATTTCTGTTTTTGTATATTAAGCCTTATAAGCATGATACTCTAATGATTTAAAAAGAAAATTGTTTTAATGTTTATTTTTGAGAGAGAGAGACAACATGGTGTGAGCGGGGGAGGGGCAGAGAGAGAGGGAGACACAGAATATGAAGCAGGCTCCAGGCTCTGAGCTGTCAGCACAGAGCTCGATGCCAGGCTAGAACTCACGAACTGTGAGATCATGACCTGAGCCCAAGTCGGACGCTTAACCAGTTGAGCCACTCAGGTACCCCTCTACTGATTTAAAAAAAAAAAATCCATGGATTCTTTATGTTTGTTGGTAGTGTAACCTGTTGCTAATAATGTGGAATGGATAACTTTTTTCCCCCTCATTATTGCTCTTGTACCATCAGGTGTTAGAATATTGAGTGAGTTCTTTATTCTCCAAGGCCTAAGGCAGTCTGGGCCTTATAGAATAACTGACTTAGCACCAGTAGTAGGCACCCATTTTTGTTGAAGATGATTGATCCACAAGGAAGAAGAAAATCACTGGAGGGCTCTAATCAGCTTAATAGATCAAAAAGTGCAGCATTGTGTTGGTGGAAGAGCCCTCCTTTTGGAGAGCTCACAGTAAGGGAGATAGCTTATAAATATTTTATTTGTCATGAGTAAATACATGTTCTGAGTGTTATGAAAACGTAAAGAAGGTAGTATTAAAACGTTCTAGGAAATTAGGAAAAGGTTCCAAGCCGGGGCTTGAAGATTGAGTGGAAGTTTACCAGGCACAGGGCCTTGGGGATTCTAGGACTGTTTTCAGGCAGTGACAACATTACATACCAAGGTGCGGAGGTGTCCTAGCGTGGTGTTCCGGGGGAAGTTTGGCTAGAGCTCCCTGGTATAGAGTAGGGAATAGGAGAGTACAGGCCATGAAGGTAGTTGGGGATAGATTTTGTTGTATTAAGAACCTTTAAATATTTTGAGTAGGGAAATGACAAGAGGATAGTGTTTATTTAAATGATATGTGTAAAGAATGGCTTTAAAGCATTATTCCTCACTTCAGTGATTGGAGTACTACTTTTGGAGACTGGTCAAATCTGAATGTCACCTGTGTTATCATTTACTTAATATTTTTCCTTAAATTCACATTTTAAAGCAAATTATTTTAACTTCTTAAGCATCACTGTCTACAACATGGATTGTCTTGGCTAGTTTTTCTAATTGGTAAATCTTTTAGTTTTTTTTCTTATAACCTAAAATAATTATGGTCAATCACTTGGGGAAACAGGGTGTTGGAATAAGTTTTAAAACTTTAGCTAGAGGAACTCTTCACACTCTTAAAAATGATTCAAAACTCCAAAGAGTTTTGTTTATGTGGGTTATAATTCATATTCAACCGTTAGATATTAAAATAAGACTTTAAAATATTTTAGTAATTCACTTAAACATAGTAAATCCACTAATTGTTAATGTAAGTAATACAATTTTATGAGAAATACCTATTATGTTGCAAAGCAAAAATAATTTAGTTTGAGGAATGTTTTATGTTGTCTTACACCTTGTCTGTAATAGAATACAGCTGACATTTCATATCACCTTCTGTATTTGTTACTATATATGTATTTTTTTTAAATTTTTGGTAGAACTGTCTGAAGCAAGTCCATCCTCATACATAACAGATGGTTGAGAAAGGGAAGAGTATTTTAATAGTCTTTTCAGAAAATTATGGATGACTTTAGATCCTCTACCAGGCTTTCTTAGTGCATTGTGAAATCAAACCCTGTTAGTGAGTTTTTTGTCTTTTGTTGTGTTAAAATCTGTTCTAGTTTAGAATGGATCTAACATGCATGATATTGCAGACATCCTTTGGTACTGGAAATGAAGAAGAGGGAATGGATTCAAGATGTATTTAGGAAATAAAATGAAAAGCATTTGGTGACTTCCTAAATGAGGGCTAGCAAATGTGTGTGTAGTAAGACACAGGAGCAGATTTTGGAGGAAAAAAAAAATGAGTTTTGACACAGCTTCTTGTATAATGTGGCACACACTCTGTCTCCCTGCTCTCTTCTGCCCACCCAGTGTCAGATGCTTCTGTGAACTTGTCATAGCTTTGATAGTGTACTTGAAACGTAGTGAATATTCAATTCGGTAAATATTTTTGTTTTTTTTTTTTAAGTTTCTTTATTTTGAGAGAAAGAGAGAAAGCACCAGCAGGGGAGGGGCAGAGAGAGGAAAAGGGAGAATCCCAAGCAGGCTCCGTGCTGTCCGCACAGAGACTGATGTGGGGCTCAAACTCACAAACCATGAGATCATGACTTCGGCTGAAACCAAGAGACACTTAACCAACTGAGCCAACTAAGCACCCCATCAATTCAGTAAATATTTTTACACTAAAGTTGCTTAGTTTTGGAGGGGAGGAGTTAA